GTTTGGCATAAATCATTATATATTTACAAATAATCGGTATAAATGAGTATGCTGGGAAAAGATTATATAATATATGTTCACAAGGATCCCGATTAAAATGAAGCTGTCATCATACATTTTATTGATATAAGGTTTCTTCAATTTATTTCGGATATATAATTATTAGTGAAAGATACGAAACATCTTGAATATTTTCTTTTAATTTTATCCTGGATGATTTAACTCTGCTTTATTTAAAATTTAAGATAAAGATGGCAAAAATTAGAATTTAACTGGGGTATCATATCTGGATCAAAAGCCCAGGCCCAAGTCTAAGCCCAAATTTGAACCCAATGGACTCACGGTGGGAAGCTCCTTCGGCGGTGGTGGCTGCAAGAACCAAGATTTGCGCCTATTCGTGGCCTGCATCATATTGGAGATACTTATTCTTTTTTTTTTTAATGATTTGGCACTTATATTTTTTTATCCTAATTAAATTATTTAATTTCACTTTTTAGAGCAACATTAACTCTTGTAACTTTATTATATTAGCATTTTTAGTATTTATGTAAGAGTTAACGATGTTAATAGAACAAAATTAACAGTTTAATTAAGAGGAAAAAAAATACATAGGTACTGAGTTTAAAATTGCAGAGGTGCTCAATAGCGACCATTCCCAGCGTCTCGTCCCTATTCCAATCATTTTGGGACCAAACAATCCCATTCTGAAAGTTTTTTGGACGGGATAAAATTGTTTCGGGACAGGACGAGACGCACCCCTATCCAAGTCTCATCCCAATATATTATTTTTATTTTTAGTTGTTATATATTTGTTTTATTTATCACTATAATAGTATTTTGGTAATGATATTTATCAAGTGTTTTTTTATTTGTTTATAAGTTGTTTTTGTATAAGTTACATGATATTTTTTGCAATGAATATTTTAGGTTTGTTTATTTTTTGCCTCTCAAGATTACGAAAAAATGATTTTTCTTTGTCCTTGTTTCATCATTTTTATCTATTTTCCTTGCATAGTTTTTATTATAAGTTCTTATACTTTCTGTATAGTTAATTCTCAAATTAAAAAAAAAAGACATTCCTGTCTCGTCTCAATTGGGACGGGACGCTATTGGAACGAGATGAGACACAAGACAAAAAAAATGTCTTGTCTCAATTATCAAGACGGGATTGGGATGGGGTTGTCCCTATCCTGTCCCGTTCCATGAACACCTTGAAAAAATTGGAAAAAAGTATAACTGTCTCCAAAATGGTTTTTCCATTATATTTACTTGATATGAATTTTTAGGGTACCTTTAATTTTCGGACAATATTCTACTCTTCTGATTTTAAATATAAAACCCATTTTATAATGTAATTTATACTACAAAATAAGTTTTATGTTTAGGATTAAAGGAGTATTTGCCTTGAGGATGCAGTTCTTTACGATGTCTGGCAGAGTAGTGTATGATCATGTAATGCAAACCCTCTTTTTTTAGGCCCTCCCTGGTTAATTCTCCTCTTCGGTCAAGCTTAGCCATATACATTGTGCCTTGCACGCTTGATTTGTAGTCCCGTCCATATTATAAACTTTTCTAAGTGATTATTGTCTGGAGGCAACGCCATGTTCATATTATAAACTTTTCTGCGTGTTTATAATTTATATAAATGCACGTATAAAATCTATGGAGGGAGTGTTTGGATTAGTAAAAAAAAGCTTTTCAAAAGTATTTTTTTTAATAATTTGAGACAAATTTCTTCACATATCTCATTTGTATTTATACACTGTAAGAACACTTTTAAAAGTATGGTTTTGTTTCCAACCAAACATCTTCTAAAAGTTGTATGGTTACTCATAGGCACACATGAACTAGTATAGCTTGCCACTACGAGGAAAACACGCCCGATTGCACACACTAAAATTTATAGAAATTTTTAGCGGTCCAAATACGATGTGATTAAAGCATAAGAGTCTATTTGCATGTATAGTCACGTTCTACGCAGTCACCCAACCCTCTCCTTTTTGCTGCGAGCACTAACACCCTGCCAACTAACGTGGCAAAGTTAGAAAGCCTTGAAAACTCAACAATTAAACATGCCAGTTAATTAGTAATTTTTACACAAATATAATTAATAAAATATAATCACGATATTAAGTAAAAAAATGTGATTATCTAGACACAAATAAGTCCTTTCATGTGTAGCGTTCGGTGTAAGTCTTTTAGGACCTGTATAGAATTGTGATTGGATCATTTAATATAGGATTTTCAATTGTAAGTTATGGAATACAATGTGAATATATGAGATAAATTTTATCTTAACTTACATAAAAATACTTATAAGTATGTTTCACAAACAAGTCCAAACAAATCATAAATTGAAGTCTCTAGATCCAAAATATGTTTAAAAACTTCATTTTCAACTCAAATTAAATTAAAAATGTCGTTATAGTTAATACTTTCCTAATTTTCTGAGTTCTTGTTCGTGTGGTTGATGAATTTTAAATTTGTAAACGCTGAATTGAAATTGAGAAGTCAGCTGATTGGCATCAAGCTTCTATGTCACTGTACTGCAACACTGTTTTTTCTTTTGCTTTTCCTTGCTTTGATGGTACTCTCAAAACTGTAGTGTTTTGAACCCAAACTCCAGACTCAATTAAGAACAGTACCTGTCTGCCCATACTTCGGTCATCTACTTATTATTCGCATTTGGTTGGTTGTTGTGTATAATATAACGAGAAGGGAATTTGACACGCTCGCTTGGGAACCGGGATTTGTACAAAAATAAATAGGAGCCAGTAAAACTGAACCGTAACTGAAAACCGAACCGAACCTAATTTAATTTCAGTTTTTCAGTTTAGTTATTTTGGTTTTCAGTTACATATTTGGTTTTTATTTTTTAAACAATTCGATTTCGGTGTTCAGTTCGGTTAGTAAGAAAAAATTCAGTTATAACCAAAAAACTGAAGTAAATATATTATATATTTATATTTAATAAATATTATTACAATAAATATATATGTGAGTTTATATGAACTTTTTAAATATATTTATATTCAATAAATATGGTTATAATAAATATTATTATAATAAATCATATTGAATGATGTAATATTTATTAATTAATTATTATAATTGTGTTTTATTATTTTTAATTTAAAATCACTTTTCATATTTATATATTTCAGTTAATCGGTTAACCGAACCAAAATATCTTGATTAATTCAGTTTCGATTACCAGTTTTGATTTGATATTTAAAATTTGTTTTATTTAGTTATTCAATTAATTCGGTTATCACGACTGAAAAACCTAATACTCACTTTCAGAAATAGAATGGAATGGGAGCTTAACCCCGAAAGTCAGCAACGTGGGAAGAGGAGAAATGATTGTTGGTGGAACAAAACACAAATACATAGTTAAGTAATAATACACCCAACAGGTCTACATGAAATGAACCGCTGCGCCCCGTGACTGGCTTTATCCCCTTTCGCCGTCAACATCAATAATTGCCCACTAATCACACGCTTTCCAGTTTTCACTTTCCCTTTTCCCCCTCCAACATTATATTATCCCCTCAAATAGTATTATAAAATATTAACAGGGTAATCTTTTTTCAGGCTCTGTCCTATGAGAAAACCTGCAAAATTGTACGCACCGGTTTAAAATGATTTATACTACCTCCTATCCTTAATATAAGATCTCGTTTAACTTTTTGTTTGGTCCTAATTATAAGACCCCAATCCATTTTGTCCTTATATTTATACATTTTTTTTTCCAAAATAGTCCTTCTAATAATGATAGTTCTAACCAATACACTTAATTAGCAAGGATATTTTAGGAATAACAACACTTATTTATTACAAATAACTAACTTAACTTACTTCCTTAATCTCCTCAAATAAGTCAACTGGGTCTTATAATTAGGACCGAAGGTAGTACTATTTACTTTCGGTATTGTTTATAATACTTTATTTATAAACTACAAATAAAATATTATAATTAGAACCGAAAATAGTATAATATAAAATAAGTATACAAGAAGAATTTGATCTCTACTTAAAAATACTTATAATTATGATTTCAAATGAGACCTAAAAAGACGAACGTCTACCCAGATTTTGGACAGGAAATCAAGCTGCTTCGAGTTTAATTATTGGCACCGTATTGTTAATGAGCCTTCACACGTGAGCCTATGAAGCCATGTGAATCAACATGGTAAAAGGTTCAGCCTTTGGGACCAGCCAACTAACGTATTTACACTCATCTCACCCTTAATATAAAAATTAATTGTTGAGTTGATTTTTATCTTAAATATAAGACTTATTTTTTATATTTATTAATTTTTTTCTAAATTACTTCTATAAATACTCTCTCAACTATAATCAAATAAATAATGATAATTATAAGACATGGACCTTCATAGATGACTTGTTTTAAGAAAATTGTGAATATTATAATATTACGTTTGATACTATATAAGATTCAGCTGATTTACTAAATTATTTTAAAATATTTATGCGTATCATTATATAACATATTCCTTCAGTCTTATTTGTAGGGCACAGATAAAAGATTTTTTTATTCTATTTATAGAACACTGAGAGAAATTTTTTTATATAGATATATAATTTTATCTTCTATTTATTATTAATTGAATTTATTTATATAAGGTACAATATCTATTAAATAGGACTAAAGTTAGATAATTGTTGAATTTTAAATGAGAGTTAATAAAATTTAAATTTTTTTTAATTTGTGTAAAATATGTTAAAAATGACTTATAAATAAGATTAAAAGAATATACTACAATTAAGGAACTTGAAATTTTTCTTATTTTTTACAAATCTGTCCCGATGCTAGGTAATATTTCATTATCAAAATAAATATGAATGATAGTAATAATGATTGATATTACATAATGTGGGTCCACAGGGGTAATTGGCCAATTGGCCCTTTAAATTCACAGTGCAACGGCCCAAAGGGTACTTCCTGCAACAATGTTTTAGGAAACACGGCAGGACAGCAGACACCAACCTTGTCGTTTGTCCACGTGGCATCCACTGACGATGTGCTTCACGCTCCGCTTGCCTTCCTTCTCTCTCTCTCTCCTCCCTCTTTCCCTGCACTTCCACCCCTCACACTCTCTCACTTCAAATTCCCAAGTCCCAACCCCTCGGAATCCCCCCATCTCTCCCCTCTCTCTCTGTTTTCCCTCCGAATATTTCAAACTTCCGATTTCTCCATTCTTGTGCTCCTTTCAACTCGCCCACCCCACAGGTCCGGAAGAGGGGGAAAAAAAAGGACACACACAAGAAAAAACCGGTCCCCACCATGCTCTGCTCGGCTCCGGCCGCCAAGTCCGGTTCGAACTGGCTCGACCGGCTCCGTTCCATCAAGGGCATTCCTACCGGCGACGGCCTCGACCTCGACTCTTTCCTCTCCAACCACTGTAACTCCAATTCCGACCCCGCTCTCTTTCCGCCGAAGCGGGACCGCAATCGGGCTCGGGGCCCCGAGTCTTCTACGCCCGACGCTGACCCACCTTCAATGGGGAGCGTCCTTGCACAGCTCTTCAACATGGGGAGTAGCCTCAGTCAAAGTTACAAACTTTCCGGCAAGAAGTGCCCTAGGAAGCAGACAAACCCCAAATCTTTCATCGCTTCTTCTGTGAGTAATAGTAGAATAATCGACTGTGCGCGAAAGGACGAGAAAAATGTCCCCTGTACGAACTCTTCTTCCAATAACCTTGAGCTGGAAAGGAACCAAGAGAACATAGCTGGTTGGGATGTAGAGGAGGAGGAGGAAGGCAAGGATAAAGATAGTGGGGGGAACGAATTGAAGGGGTTTTCGAAGAGTGAGGTTACAGTGGTTGATACGAGTTGCCCAGAATGGAAGGTTGATAGGCTTGTGTTTAGAAAGAACAATGTGTGGAAAGTCCGAGATAGGAAAGGCAAGTCCAAGGTTTTTGGGAAGAAAAAGAGGAAAGGGAGTTTTGGGCTTGATAAGGAACTCAGGCTTTTAGATTGTCAATTTCGGTCCCCCTTGAAAACAGATAGGGAAGAGTTTCGAACGCTATCTACCCAAGTAAGAACGAATAACGTGTTTCTATGTTTGCTTGAATCTTTATCATATGCTGATATGGTGGTCTAAACTTGACAATTTCTTCACAGCTAACGCACTCACTCTGTCCAACGTAAATTGCCTGTGCTAATTTGGTTTTTCTACATTAACTGTATTATTATGAGCAGCGCTTAAAGTCTGTTTTTTCCTTCAGCATTTCTATATTGGGTTGCACTATTGCATGTTTGGAAAATGATTCTGCCTTTATATTTTATGTTGGTTTCAGCGGATGGCTTGCTTTTGCCATTTTGGAATTGTGCTGTCGTGAGTTTAAATGGATATTAGTATGTGTTGATGATGATTTAAACATAAGACGAATGGATAAACTTAAATCAATCAAGGGCGACAGCTATCATTTAATAACTTTAGGACCGATACGTTGAATCACATCACTCGTAAAGTCATCATCCTTTTTGAGCGGGGCCTCAGTATCTTATGTATATATTATTTTATTACGTTGACCTCAAACCTTGACTCCCCTTTTCTGAATTGCAACGATCTTTAGTTTCGAAAGATTGGCTATGTACTTTATCACCCTTGAAAATTGTTCACGCCGCAGTTTCTTCGACGGAATTGTTGCTCTTATGGATTAATATTCGGTCCCTTCCTCTATTAGGCTCTATCTATCAAGTCGGGTTCATCATATATATAGGTTCTTATAAGGCTTACTGATAGATTGATTGCATTATTGATCTCAACTAGTATCAAATTGTGATTCCTTGTAGGATTCTTGCACTGACTCCTTTTCATCTTCACTTTCTGAAAAAGTAATGGTAGATTTGGAAGCTAATGACGAATTCTATCAGTTCTTACATTCCTTTCTATGAAACGTATTCCAGCAAAGAGCAGATATGCTTAATTAGCTTAAGCTTTGTCATATTGCACTCTGCGTGGGTAAGTATTATCTTAGTGCTACTACTGAAGTCTGATACCATGCTAGTCATCAGAAATATATTAGTTTAATTTTTATGCGAGGTTTAGAAGCTGCTGGAGCCAACACGGGTCATTGCATATAGGGAAACACACTGGTAAAGAGTTTTTACAACTATAGAAGCTCACCAAACTTGATGGTATATGCTTTCAGAGGAGTGTTTAATGTTGCATAAGATGCTTACGGGATGCTGCTAGCCAGATTCCCACATGAGAGTCCAAGTATTCCTCTTAGGGTAGTTACTGCTATCGCTTTTCACCTCATCTTTCTGCTATTAATTGCTTGATGCAATAAGAAGTGCTGAGGAAATCATCTGGAACCTAATGAACTAAATCCTATCTTGTGGGGTCGCTGCGCTGCTTTTGGCCTCCTAACTCCTTTGTCTTGAGGGATGGGACCAAACCTCTGCCAATATGTCTGTGATGGCGTATTCTTCAACTGCACACACTGAATTATCATTTAAGAACACAATTTGATAAGTAAAAGGAAAAGAAGGAGTAAATTAAAGTGGTAAAAGGAAGGGAAGAAAACGAGAAGAATAGGAGGAGTCATGATAGATGATATATTCAGATAAACAAAATAAAACCTTTATTAACTATAGTTTAATTTAATAATTTTGATATATAAACTAAAAATGTAAGATTTTTTCTTATAATCTTTCACAGTTTTTGAAAATGCTGCATGTCAGTTGAACTTGAATGTTTAAAGATTCACATGATTGTTGTCCTCAATCATGTAAATCTTTAAACATGATTTTTGGCCTTCATTTGCCCCTAAATTCTTAATTTCTAAAATGCCATTCTGATGGATGCCTAAATGGGATGGGGAACCCTACCTCAAAAGCCAGTTGTTGAAGTGGCAGACCAACCCACTGAAATATCTCATTGACATCCCACTCTACTCCACTTGAAACTTATTATCCTATACTAACAAGTTTCCATCGTATTTTTTGGCTAATTTGCAATTTCCTTTTGGTGATGATTTGAGGGGGTAAAGTGTTTATGTTTTAAGGCTTCAGCACTGAAACTATGATTGTGCTATAATTCAAAAGGGCTTTAGGTAGTTTCCCCATATTGATGTTTTTATGCTACGGATAAATATGCTCTCCATTCCATGACTTGGATGCTAATTAATGAATCTCTCTCTGCTACTCACTCTTTTGTCCCTTTAACTTTTGTGGTTTATGATTAAATCCCTCATTATGGGTCAAGTCATCCTTGAAAAGAGAGCCTGGTTTGACAAGATACTGGCATACACAGATAGCTTTTCCGTGCTTGGTGGGCTCTCTTAGGCTGACTCTATTAACTCTAATCAGGAGGCCAAGAGATTAATTAGTTAGGCTTCTGAAAATCATTGCCGTCTTAACAGCATTCCATTGGACGAACAGTTAGTCACTATACATTGGAGTCTCTGTGCTAATTAGGTAAAGAAGTATTATAGATGCAAGAAACAAGAAAAATAGTCCATAGATTCAGTACATTGCTTCTTTTTTTTTTCCTTTCATTTTGCCAATGCATTTCAATTTGATCTTGCTGGTTAGCTCCATGCTACTCAATGAACTTTTCTTTCTGCATCTTTATCTTGTTCCTATCTAGCGCTGAAAGCAAGCTAGGTTTCTGTTGATATTGTGGTTTCTGCTGTTAGGTGCTTGCCTTAATCATATAATGTAGCACAACAAAGTATAAAATTTATTTATTTTTAATTAAGAAATGTGAATTCTTTATATTGGTCAAATACATATTTCATATTTGTTGTCATGTAAATAATATGTCTAATGGAATTTTGATCAAAATAGTGTAATTGTTACCTGTCTTTTGCTGTAGGGAAGGTTTATATATATAGCACATTAATTTATTAATTGCCAAGGAAATTAAAGGAGTGTAAAGTTGTTAAAATAAAAAGGAAAGATTATATGATTTAAATGGCTCTCAGGAGGAGGTGGCAATTTATTCTGAGGAAAACGAAATGAGACTCATACACAACATAATGTTCTGATCATAAAATTAGAATTTTAAAAATGAAACTTAAACAGATTAAGACCTTTAAATTAGGTTTTGGATCAAAGGAATTGCTGCAAAGCTGCAGTGTGAAGGTGAAAAAGCTAGCTTCATTTTGTGCCAATTAGGGTTTATGGAGAATTTTGAGGCATTGGTGCGTTATAAATTATAAACTTATCATATAATGTATTCACTTTAATTATTACATATATTAAAAGAAAGATGGTAAGAAAAATGAACCCCCACACAGTCCTTTGTTTTCTTGGCACCATTTTTTCTCTGAACGTATGAATGCATGACAGTAAAAGACCTAATGAAAGTGGACTTAACTTTTTTCTATCACTAAGTTCATGGTGTTGTAATTAATTGTATTTTATACTGACTCACAGAATTTAAATATATTAAATTGCAGATACGCATGATCTTGCATGCTTAAGAATTTCATTTTATTTATTAATTCTGCTGACATGTTCAGGGACAGAATACTGAGAAGAATATGAAAGATGTTGGTATAGACACAGCCCAGGATGATCCAAAGCCTCCTCCCAAAAAGAGGCAAGTTCACCAGCTGCAGGCATATTGTGTTTTCTGGTCCTCCTTCTAATGCTTTTCATAATGACAAGGACTCAGTACGTAGATTAATAAATTCGGTCAGAATTAGTTAACACTTTTAAAATTTCAAATTACCATCAACGAAGTTCATTAATTAGAGAGGGTTCTTTAGTTGGTCAAGGAATATCAAAGTAACTAAAGAACAGTTAAAGAGGAAAAAATTCAATACTTTAAACAAATTCTCTTATGTTAAAGACAACGAGGAAGGTTCTTATAATTATGATGGGAAGGAGAATTCCCCCCCCCCCCTATGTTTGTATTTTGACTTGAAAATACCTCATAATGCATTGCAGGTTCCAATTTTCTAAGTCGCCTGCAACATCAAGAAAGGGAAACAAATCTGTTCGTCTGATATAAACAACTCCTACATAAAACAACACAAACAACAGTTTCAAATCTTAATAAAGCGACGGACAGCAAAGAAATAATTCGAAGCCCTCATTGGTCATTTACTTGTGATTCTGAATTCTCATTTGGCTGCTGCTCATGATGGTATTGTTGGTCCTTCGTTGTCATTTTAGTCACAAAACATTTATTTATGTAAAGCTCTTTTATTCTTCTTGAATTGCAAACTTCTTCTCAGCAATATATCTGCAGATTTCAAGTTATTTCCTTCTGTCATTCTGGCACTTTTCCTTTTTCTTTCTATTTTTCACTTGTGCTGCGATATCTTTTTATTTTTCTGTTCTTCCCTTGTTACCAAATCTAAGTACAAGATGCGTAGCAAAAGTTGCTAATTTATGACCATATTTATTTTGAAGAAATTCCATATATATATATATATATATATTTAAAAAGCTCAGTAGCTGAATTTTACAAGAATTCAGGTGAATTTTAATTACTTGAACAATTAGTTTGGTTAGGGAAACGGGAATAAGGCAATAAGAAATTTAGAATCCAAGACCAAAATTTCAAGTATTATAGGATTCATTATTGAATGAAATTACAATGCCGACGAACAAAAATAATTATCACAATCCATTATATGTGATTAATTTTTTAATTATTTTGAGTCCATTTTAGTCATTGCGTTTTTTTTTATACACATTTAAATATGAGAAGAGAACATATTTGATTTCCCCCCCTTTTTTTATTCGTGTATTTTCTTTCATATTTTAACTCCAAAACATTTCAAAACAAATAAGCCAAACTGAAGAAGAATGAATGAGAATACACTAAACTATAAACGTACTCTATTTGTTATTGCCATCTCGCCTCCTCTCTCGTGGGATGCTATAAGTTCTATCCTCTAGCACTTCTTTCAGATTAAAAATTGGTGGAAGTTGGAGAAGATCTAAATTGAGTTTCAAGAAAAAAAATGAAAAGGAAAGTGTAAATTGATGCCGTGACAAAGGGAAACCAGGTTCTAGACTTCTAGATGGTGAGGAACGAGAGGGATCATCCACATAAACAACTTGCAAGGTTCTAGTGATATTGTAGTATTATCTTTAGTCCAAAATATAAGATCTAATTTGTAGTGCAATTTGTATTACAAACTAAATCTTACATTACTTCCTATTCTTAATGTAAAAACTAGTTGGGAGTTGAGTTTGATCTTAAAAATAAGACTTCAATCTATTTTGTCTCCCATCTTTTTTTAAAATATAATATTAATTGTAAGGGATTTCCATTAAAGGATAATTATAATTATTCAATGTATATGATTAAAGAAGATAATTTAGAGAGATCAACACACATTTGAAACAAATAATTAAATAAACTAATTTTTTTAATATTTTCAAATTAATCATTTGACTCTTTGATTAAGATCATAGGTGATAGACCTGCGCGTGTCACGTATTTTTTTTAATTTAAATATACATAATAATTAAAGTCTTAGATCTTCTGTACGGAGTTCAAGGGGAGTATAAAATTTATTTTTGCGCCACAAACATCAAACCTAATGAATAATATACTTTATACATTATTTACTGATTATTTTTCAAAATTGTTAAAAATATTAATTTTTGAATCTAAAATTAATGCTGACAATAAATATATCATAGTATTATTTTTTTTATATGACTGTTCGATTGAGCTATATTTAAATATTGTCAGATCTAATTGAACTCAAAAGTGTTTCTACATTTTGTTTTGGGCCAATGAAGGTGTCTCCTACACTTAAATAGGCCTTCTACTTAACAATAGTCAAAGATGACTCAACAACAGGTCTGTTTGGATCAGCGATTGAAAAAATAACTTATTAAAAAAATAGCTTATAAAGAAGTGAAGTTAGATAAAAGCTAAATTAGATAAATTGAATTGTGTTTGGATTGGAGTTCAGAAAAGCTAGTTTACAAAAGTGAGATTGGTAAAATGTTGTTTAGATTATGGTTGAATAAAAATAAGTTTGGTTGTAAAATAACCAAAATAGGTATGAGTTTTAATAAGTAATGAAACATGATAAAAAGAAATGATTTCACGTACAATGAAATTAAAATAATTTAATATGAAGAAGTCAAATTTAATGAGTGAATTAAATTTTAAAATTTTAAAGAAATCATAAAAAAATATTTTAAATATAAAACGAAAGATGAAAAAAAGAAGAATTGAGATAAAAAAAATATTTTAAATATTTCGAATACTACTTCTAGTACTCCATGGATATACCAACTTGTTTTTTAATTTTACGTCATGTCCTGTTATTTTCTGAATGCTTGAAAATCTTCAAAGAGGCTCCAGAGTGAGTGTCAATATGGTCATAACGGCATGAGGACTCATGGCTCGTGGGTGATTGCTTTGAATAAAGAAAACAAGTGAATAACTCACGAGAAAATAATTGCCAAATGGGAGAGAAAGAGGGAATAAAAGAATTTCTAACACCTCATAACAATAATAAGCTCTTTATATTTGAAAAATAAGCTCCCTTCTCTAGCTTATTCTGAACGCACGGTAGGTCAGTTATTTTTTTATAAGTCTAATACAATGTAAGTTTTCCCAAACAACACCTTCATTTTGAACTGGACTTCTTCCTATTTTAAGCCATACTTAGGCCAGCAAACGCTAATCCAAACAGGCTTAAAATCACATATGACAAGGTTTCATTAGACAAAATAAATCTAAACATCAAATTATGAACAACCAATTGTAAATAGTAGTGCTTGGTTTTGTGTACACTATTCATGAATAGCAAATAGAAGTCCAACATAAAGCACATATCTATAACCTAGCTTTATTGTATATATTGAATTGATATATTGATAATTATATATTCATATTTGAAAAGTAAATTTGTAAATGGGATAAAAAATTTTAAAAAATAAAAAAAATACTACTTTCTGTATTATTATTAGAAAAATGTGTTTTTTTCCTTTAAGCCTCGTGCTAAAAGAAACCGCGGCATGTTTCTGTGCAACATGTAGTTATTACGTCGTATAGTAAATTTGCTATGAAACGTGCGGCATCTCCAGAGTGTGGGGCTCGTAGCAGTCGCTTGCTTAACTGCGCACGTTCGCCTCGCAAATATGGCTGCTCAGCTCACTCAGTTTACACAAAGTTGATGTCTTTCTCTTGTTCTGCTTCTCCCATGGCGTCTCATTTATGCCCAGTAACGCTTTCACCTACTCTTCAAATCTCCCTTAATCCCGTTTCAGCCTTTTATCGTCGAGGGCTCTTCTCCGCAGCGAGGTTCAGTGAACCATCGAAGGGCACGCTTAAATTACTACTAAGTAAGGAGCTTTTCGGACCCAGCATGCCCACTTCATCCCAGTGCAGCTGCAGTGACTCTCTCGCCAACCCTATCGTTGAAATGGGTGAGTTACTCTCACAGTCAAATTTTCAAACACCTGTCCTTCGAAATGCATAACCCCACTATGTCCATGCACTGGACGATTCACGGACCGTTTTTCCCCTCTGTTTCAGGAGTACTCTTCTCTTTGTTTCAAGAAATGGGGTTGGGCTATGAGGAAACTCAAATGCTGTTGGCCAATGACCCTGAGCTTGCAATGGTATCTTTTGATGCATTACGTGCTCGGGTTCGTTCTTTGCAGTCTTTTGGTGGGTTTGATCGTCTTGCTCTGCTGAACTTAGTCGCAAAGCGTCCAAATGTATTAACAGCTACGCAAATTGATGATTTGATATGTTTTGTACGGGATGAATTGGAAGGTCAGATAACTCAAGCACAGATGAAACGCCTATTATCTGGTACAGAGCCAAGATTTTTTGTGGATTTTGATCAAAAGGTCAAACTGCTTCTCACCAGAGGGGTTCCCCGTGAAAAGATTGTTCATGTGCTCAACAATGTGAATCTGACAAAGGCAGTGTGTTATAGGTCCATGGATGAAATCAATAGAACAATAGATTTCTTAGACCCCTTTGGTGGCATTAATCTAATTGTAAGGCGTCCTGCAATTTTCAATTATGATTTGGATAATCAACTGATTCCAAGAACTAAGTTTTTGATTGAGCTCAGTGGAGGCGATGAAGATGGCACTGGGAAAGTGCTGTGTAGGCTCCCGGCAATTTTGAGTTACCGTGTGGAGCATGTAAAGGGCCACGTAGAGTTCCTAAAGTCTTTTGTGCGCTTGAATGATCGACAAATATTTCGCATAATAATGGTTTTTCCTAGTATTGTTAGTGCTAGCAGGGAGAGGAAGCTGCGTCCTAGAATAGAGTTTCTCAAGAATTGCGAGTTGAATTCGGATGAAATCTTCAAGTTCTTGATAAAAGCTCCTTTATTTCTAGGCCATTCATTTCATGAGAATATTGCATATAAACTCGTGTTTCTGGTCAAGATTGGGTATAAATATAGGACAAAGGATTTGGCAATGGCAATTGGATCTACGACTAGGACAAGCTGTGAGAATTTGCAGAAGTTAATTGATCTATTCTTGAGTTATGGGCTTTCATGCGAAGACATAGTTGTTATGAGCAAGAAGCATCCTCAGATACTGCAGTACAATCATACATCTCTAGAGAAGAAGATGAAGTACCTAATAGAGGAGATGGATCGTGACATTGACGAGTTACTAGCTTTTCCTGCATTCCTTGGTTACAAGCTGGACGACAGAATTAAACAAAGGTTTGAAGAAAAGAGCAAGAGGGGATCAAGAATGTCTCTCAACAAGCTTTTAACTATTTCATCTGAAAGATTCACAAGTAAAAGAAAGAAGGCCTCTGAGAAACTCAATGCAATAGGAAATATTGATGCAAGTGAAGGTCTTTGAGTCAACGTCTTTTCCTTTTTGGTCAGTTCTTGCTGTCCCCAGTTTATTTATTTATTTCATCACCCCACCGGCGCCTGGTGGCATTTTTCTTTTTTCTAAGGAGACTCAGTGCTAAAGATCTCTCTTTTTACAGAATCAACTGCTTTAGGTATTTGCTGCTTGTGCTGTGTATACAGGAACCAACCACGGATCTCTTGGAGCAGTGAAGATAATCAAGATATTGGTTTCAGACAAATGATGAGACTTTATCTCCCCCTTTAAAAAAACAATTAAAAGAACATTCAAGAGTGATCGTCGTGGGACCATTTATCATCGGAAACAAGTGGGTTAGGCTTGTTATGTTCTCGAGTCTATGCGTAGGAGTATTACTGGTCCTCTACTGGAGCCAAATTTGAAAAAGAGCCTCTCCGTCCAAAGATACCGATCACATCGCTAAAGCTGTCTGAAAACTGATGATACACAACACGACATAGTGGGACAGTGGGCTCTCCTCAGTCACTGAACCAACGTGCGCTGCCAATTCATTATGTCGAGTCTGCAGGGATGACAACTGTTTTGAGTTTTGTATCATCTTCTCTTCACATGAGAGACCATTCAGAAATTTGATGGTGGCCGCTTAATGACTGGCGCACTACCTTTAATTTGTTGGCTCAAGGTCTGAACAACTATTTTCTGCATGTTACAAACGTGTTGGCCACTATTAAAGATGCTAAAGAGGATGCCTCAGTCAGGCCCCTTTTCAATTTTTTTCTGCATCAGAAATTTTTCCTTTTCTTCACATATTAAATAATTCATCCTTTTAAATTCAATAGAAAATAGGTCATTCATGCCGTTCACAAAAGATGAAAGGACTAGAAAAGTTAATTGCTAGTTTTCGTATTATTTTAGTTCGTAGAACATATATAACATGTCTTATTATAGTTTCCTAGTTGATTCTACGCTGGCAGCACTCACACAAGTATACCAAAAAGCCTGCTGTCCACTATAGCCTCAGGACTCACTGAATATAGACATCATACAACATGTGAACAATTGAAGGAATAGGGAATATCCTATCTTATTTCATCCACAATGAGTGGCGACCAAGTAAAGGGCCGTCTGAGGAACATGTAAACTTAAGAATGTCTGTCTCAACGTTGAGGCGTATACAGTTACCTGTTATGTCTGAGTCGAAAGCAGCTTGATGAAGTCACTAAACATCATTCTGGCGTAGGATCGAATCTGTGCTAATCAAGCAACTTTTGCTAATTGTCAATAAAGCGTCGTCAAAAAAGTAATATCTGTTGTCTCCATTCGGGTAGTGGCAGATTTTGACTATCTGATTAGTATTGGGTTGCTGTCGTATTTAAGCTTCCTCGCTGGAGTTCTTGCTACCACGCGAAGAAACATAGCAATACAACAGAATGGGCGTGTTTCTTCCGAGGAACAACAATGCAACGTTCTTGTTTATATTACTATTCTTTATTCTGGTTCTACAAGACACCAACATCCTGGCCTCGGCTGCTCTTTCAAGAAGCAACGTTAACTTTTCACTCTCATCAACTCCTTTTTTCTCCTTACTTTTCCGACTACGTTTTCCTGACACTGACCATATCAAAGCGAACAGGTTTACATTGTTTACATGGGAAAGAAGCAGCACGATGATCCAGAGCGCCTCACTGAACTCCATCATGAAACTCTTAAATCAGTCATTCGAAGGTACTAACGTTGTTAGAAAATAATAGCTCGATGTCCACATCATTGATTTGAGTTTACTAACAGCTGGACCAATAATACTTTCACCTTTTCCACTAATCGAACAGAGAAGAATCCTCAGACTTTATGGTGTATAGCTATAGACATGGGTTCTCAGGTTTTGCGGCGAGGCTTACAAAAACTCAAGCTAAAATGATTGCAGGTATTTTGTCCCGTCCGGGCCTTTCTTAAATATCATTTCTGTGCCATGCATGAGTTCCCGGTTTGTGCGACTGCTAGATAATGATTACTCGTTACTTGATTCGCATGGAAACTCCATGCATCATATTAATGCCCTAGAAATGAGGATGCATTTTCTAAATTCCAATCATCAAAATTACCGGTGAAAAATCAAAACCATTTTCATTCACGTGAGCCACCAGTCTGTATTTGATACATCATCAGTCAGATGGAATTGGAAACATTCAAATCTTAAAAGACCATCAGATAAAAACTATGGTTTCAAGAAATACGTGTGCGATCGCGCGCGCGCGTTTGATATATCAAGAATAGGTTTAAAGTATTCCAGTTAAGTTCAATTCGGTTGAGTTCAATTGTTTTGACCGCAGAGTTACCTAATGTTGTTCGAGTGATGCCCAATAATTTTTATAAGATGCAAACTACCAGAAGCTGGGACTACCTTCAACTGCCTTTACAGTCTTTCAATAGTCTTCAGCATCAAGCCAAGCTGGGACATAGTGCCATCATCGGCCTTCTTGATTCAGGTTATGACCTACACAACTTCCTCGTATATGAACATGCAGCATCCTGATACCCCTTGTGACAAAACTGTGAACAATGTTTGGGCAGGAATATGGCCTGAATCTAAAGCTTTCTCCGATGAAGGCATGGGGCCAATCCCCTCTAGGTGGAGGGGAGTCTGCGAATCAGGAAAACACTTTGACGCGGCAAAGAGCTGTAACAGAAAGTTGATTGGAGCTCGTTATTTTATCAAAGGGCTTCAAGCTGAATATGGACAGCCATTAAATGCCAGTGTGTTCCAAGATTACTTGTCCCCAAGAGATACATCCGGGCATGGAACACACACCTCTACTATAGCTGCTGGCTCCTTCATCAGTAATGCCAGCTACAAAGGACTAGGTGCCGGAACAGTACGAGGCGGTGCTCCGATGGCTCGCCTGGCTATGTACAAAGTCTGCTGGAATATGTATGATGGAGGACTTTGTGCAGCTGCTGACATACTGAAAGCCTTGGATGAAGCCATACATGATGGCGTTGACGTATTATCACTGTCCATAGCCTCTGATCTTCCCCTTTATTCTGATGTGGATGAGCGTAATGGGATCACCTTGGGGGCTTATCATGCCGTGGCACATGGAATTAGTGTTGTTTGCTCCGCAGGAAATGATGGTCCAAATGGTCAAACAGTGCAGAGTCCAGCACCGTGGATAACAACCGTGGCAGCAAGTAGCACAGACCGCTCCTTCCCTACACCTATCACACTTGGAAACAACTGGACAACACTGGTAATGTCTTCACAACCTGATGCAGCAAGAAAATTAGAAAAATATGGGCTACACTTGCCATGTCAAGAACAGATATCTTGAAAAATAATTTGTCATCAATTGCAGGGTCACGGGATGTTTACAGGGAAGGATACAGGGTTCGTCAATCTGGTATACCCTGAGGAATCAAAAGAGCTCCAAAGTCCTCGGTAATATATGCTGCAGCTAGATTACATTTTTAACTCTTTTTTTTGGTGACATACTGAGGATTAATAGTTGGTCTTTAACTCTTTATATTACAACGCATTAATTATATGCTCACAGCATGTTACTTAAATTAGCGTCCTGCTGGACTAAGCTTCAAATCGTAATATTTTTTCCACTTTTTCAGGCCACCGCCAAAAGTAGCAAAACTTAACCATGTGGATATCTTTTGTTGTATTTTCTTTTCTTTTCTTCCTTTTCTCTTTTTTTGTTTTTTTGGGCCCAAACACGACTATCAGGTCCATGTGGGTATAATACATGCGCATAAATTGCCTCAATATATAAATATATGCATATTGTCTATAGAATTAATGAGACTTGTGTGCAGTTACTGCAATTCTCTCTCGCCAGATGACAGTTGGGTAAGAGGAAACGTGGTTTTCTGCTTTGTCTTCGATTATCGATATTATGCAGTGCAGGACGCTGCTCAGATTGTCAGAGAAGCTGGGGCTTTAGGGATTATCGTGGCCAGGGATCCCAGTACGGTACCAGTTGAACCATGTGGAAATAATTTTCCATGCGTCCAAATAAGCCACGAAACTGGAATGCAGATACTCTACTACACCCGTTCTACAAGGTAAGGTCGCCAACTTTGCCAATTCTAGATGTAAACATCAACTATTAGTTGTCATTCCCATTAAAAGTCTAGAAAATGATTTGGGTAAACATAGCAGGCGTCCTAGAGTAAAGATTGGCTCTTCCAAAACACATACTGGCAGACCTGTGCCAACCCGCATAGCAGCATTCTCGTCTAGAGGGCCTAGTTCTGTTGCCCCTGCAATACTTAAGGTATTCCTTTCTCGTTTGCTATGAAGGGCAAAAACATGGTACCGTTGTCTTCATTTTTCAGAAGCAATACGTGACACGTGATATGACTCATCAGAGACCAATGTGACATTTACATGACAGCCAGACATAGCAGCTCCAGGTGTCAATATATTAGCTGCAGTCGCTCCTGATGAGGATTCCTCAAAAGACACAGTCTTTGCTTTTATTTCCGGAACTTCAATGGCAGCTCCTCATGTCTCAGGCATAGTTGCACTGCTCAAATCGCTACACCCTAATTGGTCACCTGCTGCCCTCAAATCAGCCATAATCACAACAGGTAAAATTCTCAGATATTTGAAAGGTTTAAATTGAAACTCAAAGTTACTTTCATTTTCATAATCACCACAAATTTGCAAAACACAACAAAATGCTGCAGCATGGACGACTGATCCATCTGGGGAACCAATATTTGTGGAAGGAGAACCAACGAAGCTTGCAGATCCATTTGATTTTGGTGGCGGGATTGTGAATCCAAACAGGGCAGCAGATCCTGGTCTTATCTACGACATGGACTCAGCAGATTATGTTCAATACCTCTGTGGCATGGGCTACAGTAATCCCAGCGTTTCCCTCCTAACGGAACACCCCATCTCTTGCCCCGCCAACCGGCCCTCCATGCTTGACATAAACCTGCCTTCCATAACTATACCATCCCTTAGGAAGTCAACAATCATAGTAAGAACAGTCACAAATGTTGGACCTGTCGACTCAAAGTACAAGTCCATCGTAGAGCCTCCCATTGGCATAACCATAGCTGTGCAACCGGATATTTTATATTTCAACTCTACATTGAAGGCCATAACCTTCAGCATTATTGTTTCCTCAAGTCACCGTGTGAGCACAGGATACCTCTTTGGTAGCTTGACATGGCACGACGGTAAGCATTCAGTCAGGAGTCCAATATCTGTCAGAACTCGGATCACAGAATCTTATAGTTGATGATTTGAAATAAAAGGTTGAGTATCGTGTGGATCGTGAACTTTATGAATAATATGAAGATCTATTAACTGTACTTTAAGAATAAATTTAGCCGTTTTATTCCATCGCGGCCTTTTTACCAGCAGCATTGTGAATATGGTCGGGCCCGTGCCCCTGTTCCTTGGGCATGCCATTGGCAGCTCACATCTACCTAACCCAAACTCCGGTCAAACATTCAATAAAATTCTCAAGCCGTATAAAAGACTGAGATGAAATTATGATTATCTATGTATCATAACAAGAGCAAAGCAAGTACTGTATGCCAGGTTAAAATAGCAGGTAGTCCAAGGTTACATCATATTTGAACACTAAATTTACACTTAACCGCCAATGCCTCCATTCTAACTCCAAAGCAATGGCTATTAGTATCGGCAAATCATTTGCAAGCTCTAGAGTCCTCACTAAAAGAGTTCTCCATGGGTACCACCCAATCATGCAGGAAGTGTTCTCTAGTCAGTTATAAGACCACAGTCTCCAATTTCTCAGCTTCAGCATCACCTTTGGGTATAATGAGTCCATAACCTCCTTCTTTTCTTTTGTACACGATATTAATCTCCCCTGAAAAAATGAGGATATCTATTATTGCAAAGAAAAGTGGAGAATCGATTCTTATACAGGAGAGAACTTTAAAGGGAAAAAAAGGACAAAGAAATGTACGAGGGAAATGCAAACCCCAAAGAAAGACAAGTGTACAATAATAGCGTACCGGTTTCTTCATTTCTGAAACCGTAGAAGTCATGATCAACATTTTCCAGCTGCTCAATTGCTTCAGATACAGTCAATGGTGGCATGTCGAAGTATTTCATGCGGACAACCTTTATGACAAGTCCGCAGAATGAATGTATGTCAGGGAGGACAAAGAAAATCATCATTTCGTGATTAGCTGAACTAGCACACAACACAGTAATTTTTCAGTATGCAAGCTAGACCTTTGGTTCTTCGCAACAGATTTTGACATATCAAAATGCATGATTCAAGATGTGCATGATCAATTTGAGAGAAGGATAAACAAAACCTAAGATCATAGGAAGCAGAAATACAATAAGGCAAATGTATGAAGCACCACCTCATCAGATAATATTTCCGCCTCTTCTGGCCCTGGGGGCGTCTCTGTCTCAACCTGGGGTACTGCCGTTTCAGGCTCCCTGACCTTCAGCCTATTGAATCCCTTCATGTGGCGACCATGGTCTGATTCCTTTTCTTTTATCTTCCTCAACTTCCTCTGGATGATTGATGACACTAAATCTATACTTCCATAAAGGGTCTCTGCATCTTCCTCTGCCCTGACTACTCCGTGCCTCTTGGTAAACAATGTTACCTAATGAATGATAAGCCCAAAAATTCAATCACTGGACTCGTCTATATAAAAGTTCCAGATAACCAAGAAGTCTCAACTGGAATGCTTGAGTCGCACCTCACATCTCCTGGTTCTGGGTCCTCTCCCAAACTCTCCGCCTCTGACAGATAACCTCACGTCCACCTCCCTAACTAAGTGACTATGCTTTTGAACTGCCTTTCCCACCTTTTCTTCCACATGCTGCTTGACCGGATCAGTCAACTGAATGAAAACAAGTACAAACACATAAGCGACTCATATCCCCTATTCAAGAAACTCATATACGAGAAAAGAAAGAAATGCAAGAGAATGTGACTAAAGAAGCTAACATTCATCGATGTGAAGAAAGGGATCGCGTACATACCTCTAAATTTTTTCCCTGAATAATCAATTTGACGGCAGAGAGTGGCCCCTCCCATGTCATGCGAGCAGCGAGAGCACCGCCACTGTTACTTGTGCGCGTAATAGTACCAGAAGTACATCTGAGTATTTCAAAACGAGTTAGGGAAGTTCTCAGCTTCGTGGATGGCTTCGAGTGAGATGAACTCAGTAGACAGACCGTAGAAGGAGAACAGCGATGAGAAGACGCAGAAAGCGATGACAACGATGCCGATGACGTAGCGTGCAAGGCGGTCCGCAGAGAAGCCACCGAAATTGCCATTACAAGAAGTCAAGGTGCGAATTCTCCGGGGAGATTCAATTTAATTAATTGAACAAAAATTTTCCGGGGTATCGGATGAAGGTAATCGGTGGGAATGTTGGAGGAAAACCGGGGAAAGGGGTACACAGTAACACAGAGAGGAATGAATCAATTTGTTTGGACGAATGGGCAATGTAGGACCCGCGGGGATCTTATCCATTGCGAGATGCCAATACTAACAAAGACCCATTTAGCTTTCACGTTAGGCCCAACCGCACACCATACTGTATTGTTGATCGTAAAAAATACTTTTCTTATTTTTAATATATAGCTTAATTATTAAATTAATTTTGATATTAAATCTAAAATCTATTTCATATATTTATTAATGAATATTCCTTCAATCATAATTAAATAGGAGAGAGAGGAAATATATTAAAAAAGATAATTATAGTGTTTTAAGAAAAACATATCATATTATTTATAATTGACTAATTTATCTAATTTCTTTAATATAATCAAATTAGTTAAGTAGGTCTTATATTAAAAACTGAAAGAGTAATAATTACAAGTATCCTTTTTATATGCGGAGTTAGTAAATTTAAATTGTAATTTTGTAATTAGATATTCATAAATTTCAACACTTTAATATGATAGTTTTTTATATTTTAAAACTAAAATTGGGCTTACAACAATGATGTTCACGGACGAGTTGTTCCTTTTTTCCCCCACTTGAGTTCCTGGGAAAATCACAGTGTCGCAGGCCCGTGTGTGTGCGTTTTCTGTGAACAAAATTTTAAAAAATGATGCAGCTTCTGCCACGAGGCAAAATTTGACGCAGGTCAGGAAAAAGCTACGGGGAACTAATTTAGACGGCAACGTGGTTCGTGAGCGAGAAGCTTGCTGGTCTCCACCACCTCCTGAAAATGGCCTGGGATCGGGGCGACAGGAATCTAATTCTTGAAACTGATGCTGCTGAAGTGATTCAGTTAATAAAACAAGGCGATGTGGCCACGCACCCGGATGCAGGAATTATTCAAGAAGCCAGAGGTCGAGACTGGACCGTTATTGTTCAATGGGTTCCGAGAGCAGCCAACGGAGCAGCTGATTACTTAGCCAAACAGGCCCTCAAGGCTTTGCTTGGATTTCACATAGTTCGTACTCCGCGTAAGGAGTTAGTAATCCTTGATCCTAATCCTTATCCAAAAAAATAGTTCAAATTGGGACAGGGGATTTGTTATTTGTGAACCGAGGCTTTAGCTTTAAAGATGCCTTTTCCAATATCACGACGTGCTTGAAGGTTGAATCCACTCCTTTCATAAGCCTGTCCAAGTTCCAACTTCTTTACCTGCTGCTGCTGCTGCTGAACCCACAAACAAAGGGGACGTGTGTTTTACGTACTTTGTAAGCAAAAGTTATTGATGTGAAAGTGGACGACAATTCGGCGATGACATTTTTTAAGATTTTGTTTTAAATTTAAATATTTTTTAATTTAGAAATTTTAAATCAAGTATTAATCTGTCAACATTTGATCATAAGGTCACCATTTAAATCTGCGAAGTAAGCGTTTTTTTTTAATTAATGTGTTTAGCCGTGTTAAAATTAACAAAAGAAAAAATAAGTTTTATAAATTCAATGAACTAAATCAAAACTTGATATAAAATTAAAGAGTATTTGTGATTTTATTTTATTGGCAGAGGGTATTTGTGATCTGTAAATAAAGTGATTTGTGATAGGAGCGGATTTTACTACTTGCACTGACCTGCTATATTGAATTGGGAAGAATGGGCATTAAGGTTGGATGGTGCGAAATGTGATGTAAAGCAAGACACGAGTTGAGTGACTTGAAAGCGATGAATGATTTCTCAAAAATATCTATCATCATCATAAAGATCTTTATCTCAATTTTCATGCGAACACATGTAGATAGAGTGCGTAACCCAATCAGCTTCTTCCAAGCTGCAAATGAATTGTGGTTGAATATCTTATCGTTTATGCCTTATGATTAACATCAGACAAATAAGTTGATCCAAATTATAATCATTTTTACTAAATTAAGCGGTTTAAGAAAAATGGTAAAAATTAGTCTAAACAGTAAATATATAAAAATTGAATATTTTTCTAAAGTATGTCCCTTTTTGATAAAAAAAGCCAAATGAAATTAAAAACAAAATATAAATGACATCATAAAGTAATGCCAAAGGAAACAAAGAAAATATGTTAGCATTTAAGTATCTATGTCCTTATTTAACATAGGAGAAAATAACAAAAAGAAATACTAGTAATAAGATAAATGATGAAAGAAAATATAGTATAAGAAAAAAAAAGAGAGGAGATGGAATAGAAAATTAATTAGAAAAAAATTACTAAAAATGCATTTAATATTCAAACACTCATAAAAAATATCTTATTAAGAAAAAACAACAAACCGATTGAAATTTTAGTATCTTATGAAAAACACCAAAGGTAGCACCTGCAATACGCATAAACTAGAAAGAAAATGAATAGGGCCTGCATTAAATAAAGGGTAATCTTTTTTCACTGAACGAGCGGTGGGAAAGATCTAAAGATAGGAGTGGTTGAGCCGATTTAAAATGAAATAAAGTGAGGGAAATCATAAATAAGTGGGAGAGGGTATTTGGAATGCCATTGAAACTTGAAGGGCCTTAATTGTGTGGCAATCTTCAAAGCATTTTTCTATAAAACGAGATAAATTCTTTTATATATTTATTTCATAAACTGTAAAAACACTTTTAAAACCATAGTTTAGTTTCATCTAAACATCCCTTAAACTGAAGGAAGCAGCCAGTCAATAGGGACATGGTAGCTTGGCAGAAATTGTGATGCACGCCCCACCTCTTCCCCGCAAATTTTAGATATGCCTGGCACTTTTTGTTCACCATTTCACTCCCATTTCAAACAAGTTATATTACTCCCTCTAATAGTTTAGTAGTTAATTTAAATATCAACAGCAAACGGCTCTGACGCTAATAGTAGCGCTACTCGCGAAGTTTGGGTAAAATTTTTGAAACTCAATCCTAACATATTTGTGTATGCATTAAAATTAAAATTTTAGAAGATAAAATACATTGACATCTTACATCTAAAATCAAAACAAAATCCTTAACTAATTTCTATATTTAATATATGGGAGGAATAATCAATTTTTTTTTCACTTAATCAAGTGTTTAGTCTCTTCTTCCAATAAATAAGCTTCTCAAACTTTGAATTTGTATTTTTCTTCTTATATTACGAAGATGAGGCCGCTTACCATACCAACTAACTATTTGTTGTGGAGGAGTAATTAATTTTACCTCGTTCATTCTTCTTATTTTAGCTTTATTAATTAGGCTTGATTGCCTTGGATGTTTAGTGGTTTTGCGTCCAGGATTTAATCTTGGTTTCACCTTTTTTTTTAAAAAAAAAAATTGACAAATTAAAGGTGGTTTGTCGGAAGAATAATTGGGCAACCTCACCAAGTGATTATCGTTATGTACCTGTGAAAGGCATTTATCATATGCTTTGTCAGATTGGGATTGGCTCAAACCAAAACCACGGAAGTTCATGATCATTGCCAGCTGATTTAACCATGGACCATATGGGAAATATGAAAAAGTACTGAGGACAAATTAGTCCCGCCGTCGCATCCGCCACCAGTTGAATTGAGCCATCCAATTTGACACCCACATTAGATTCTTTTCATTAAATAAAAAAAGAATAATTTATAATTTTTAACCAATTACCCCATGGCGTATGTGAGCCACAATATGAGCAAGGGCTAGATGCAGCTTAGATCGGTGTCCCGCTGAACAGGGTCAAATTATTAGCGTTTTATCTTTTTATATCTATACATAATTGATAATATCACTTATTTATACTCTTCCAATTCTCAATATATGACCTAATTATTAAGTTAGTTTTAATTCTAAATATAAGATATATTTATCATATTTATTAATTTTCTTTAAATTACCTGTATGGATACTCCCTCAACCATAATCAAATAGAAGAAAGAGGGGTATTAAGAAAGATAATCATGGTGTTTTAAGAAAAACATATCATATTTCTTATAATTAACTAACTTACCTAACTTCTTTAATCTAATCAAATTAGTTAAATTAATCTTATATTAAGGACATGAGGAGTATAATCTGGTTAAAGATATGGCAGGAAAAATAGATTTTAAGTACATATAATTAAAATTTAAAATTAAAATGTTAATGGGTAACTAATATTTTAAAAACAAATAAACGATCGCACAAATGAAATATCAATCTGAACATCTAATCATTTGATCATTGTCTATGAAAATCAGGAAGTTATTAAAATTTTCACCAGTGAAAAATTAAAATCATAATATATAAAATATTATTTAACGTTTATTTTATACCGATTTATTAAATAATATGTGGATAAATTAATGGTGAAGGAGTGTTAACATTGACTGTAGGGGCTTAAAGGAGAAATCCTATTCTGCCCACCAACCAACATGTGAGCGAGTGCGGAAACAATCACACACTGCGCGCGTGCAACGAACAACATCCTTCTGGAGAAAATACTTTGTCGATTAGCGGTGAAATCCTCAAAGCCACAAACGAAGAATCCCCCCGGAGAGCCAAAGCCACGTGTCAAGATCATATCCATAAGATTCAACGGCCATCTTAACTCATCCCAAAATATCTTTGAAGGGTGGATTTAAATTTTAATATCTTCCCCCTCCTGGGGCCCACACAGTGCCTCCATTCATATCTCCACTCCAAAAATATCATTTTTTTTCCAGGCAGGAGTCCAACTATGCATATCAGGCACAGAAAAAACTAAAAAAGAAAAAACAGTGATAAATATCCACCACCAAACATTGAGAGAACCCAGTAGCTCTTTTCCTTTTGATCTTTGGTCGAAATTTAGATCTGGTTGCTGACGTGGCGATGGTGGGTCACCCCTTCCCGCCTTCTAGATATTTTGCTGCCCCGCTCTTGTCCCCAGATATTTTCCCAGGCCGTTCGATTTGAGGCGGTTAATGGTGGACTTGGCATCCCACGCCCCTGGATGCCCTCTTATATTTAACGTTGGGTTTTCACCACATTGCCTTTTCTCTTTTCTTCCCCTCCAGATTTTTGTATTTGTTGGTCTTTCAAGGATCAGATTTTGTGCTCTGGTTTTGCTCCCGGAATCGATTCTAGAGAGAGAGAGAGAGAGACAGCGGGTTAAGGGAGCGGAAAATGGGCGAGGTCGTGTTGAGTTCTGAGAAGCTTCTGGAAGCGAAGGAGGTTGAGACCGAGACCCATAAGCAGAAGGGGACGGCGGATGAGGAAGTGAGTGGAACAGAGAGTAAAGATGAGGAATTGAATAACGGATTGATGAGGTGGAGGAAGTTCCTGCCCAGGATGACATTGAGGGTGTTATTGGTTGAAGCTGATGATTCTACACGGCAGATTATAGCTGCGCTTCTTAGGAAATGCAGCTACAGAGGTCAGAATTTTCCTATACTCGTCTAGCCGGTCCGTTTGATCGCTTCAAACTGTTTATTTTCTCCTCTTCATTTTCTCGGGCTTTTCTGGGATGATTGAACAAGGTTTTGGCTGCTTTTCTTCGTAAACTTTCTCACTCTTCATATTTAACTTCCTGATCGAGAAGAGATTTTTCTTCATTTTTTTCCTTTGGGATATAATAGAATTTCTAGGAGATTAATCTAAATTTTCAGGTGAAGCTGAGAGGAAGTAATTTATATTTTATTTTAAACTCGCTGTTTTTTGTCGCTAAAATTACAATTCTGATGCTTTCTTGCTCTCTAGTTTTTTTTGGATACAGTAAATTGATAGTCTAGTTAGAAGAGTTGCTTTGGGCGCCGCTATCCTTAGTCTGTGCTGGTTTACGTTCCTTGTTGCGTTCCATCATGTTGATATCAGGACATCATGATCTCCAGAGCTTAAAATTGAATTTGATTGTTCATATGCTTTGGTTTACCTTTCCCCCGGCCTAACTGATGAAGTCTTCATTTGGAATTTTAAATATTATTTCATTAATTTATTATTCAAAGGGTGAAGCTGTTTAGAATTATTCACTAAATTTTTTGTCTGTGAAAAACAAGGAGAAAAAGTCTATTGTTTTCTTGCAGGCTTGTTGCGCCCAAAGTCCCAAACTGAGAGTTTGACAGGGGATTTGGGTTATAAAAAGTAAGTTTAATGAACTAACAGCGCCATTTAACTCGCACTATCCAATTCAGTACGAAACTTGCCAGTAAAAAATCTTGCATCATTGTACTCGCCAGACATATCACATCTCATAGCTTCTGTACTTGCTTAAATCGTGTAATTTATAAATTTCAAGTGCTTCATGCTTAATTACTTGCTTTTGAAAGTTAGATCTTTTTGTTAACTTTATCCAATTTGAGCAGTGGTTGTTGTGCCTGATGGCCTGAAGGCATGGGAGATACTGAAGGGAAGACCACACAATGTTGACCTTATACTAACAGAAGTGGATTTGCCATCAATATCTGGTTATGCTCTTCTCACATTGATTATGGAGCATGAAGTTTGCAAAAACATTCCAGTTATAAGTAAGTTATCGGGGGGGGGGGGGGAACTTCTGCCTGTTCAACTGCTGTCTTCTCTTTCACTTCACATATGTGATGACTAACTTTATGCCTTTCCAGTGATGTCTTCGCAAGATTCAATCAACACAGTCTACAAATGCATGTTGAGAGGTGCTGCTGACTACCTTGTCAAGCCCCTTAGAAAGAATGAGCTGAGGAATTTGTGGCAGCATGTTTGGAGAAGACAATCTGTAGGATATTGTGCTCATTTTCTTGTTTCTCCTCCTTTTCATAAGTACTGGGATGCCATTAATTCTTACTTGATCTTTTATTTGTTTGTTTGCTATTTTTGTCAGTCAACCTCTGGTTTAAACGGTCTTGAAGACGAGAGTGTTGCACAAACGAAGGCTGAAGCCACTGCTGAAAACAATGCTCCAGATAATCATTCAAGTGGCGATGCTGCATGCATTCAAAGAAATAAGGAATTAATTGAGAAAGGAAGTGATGCTCAGGTCGGTTTGGTTTTCCTGAACGTGAAACTCTGTTAAAAAAAAAAAAATGTAACAGTTTTGTATTTTTTATGTGTAAAAGAAAATTTACTTTATTATTTCTATGTTGTAACAAGAAAATTTAATTCATGGTAGAGTCCTTGAATTAACCTTCCTGCATGCTTATTACGGTCAAGCTTGGATATTATATGGTCTGGCATTGCCCATCCATTGTTCCTTGTGTAAGTTGCATGTGTAAACACTCTTGATAGGTCGATCATGGCTTAGCCAACATGTTCCCGATGCTTAATCTTTTCCAAGGGCATATGTTTTTTTCCAAGGGCATATTTTCTTACGGTTTCGAGAGTCTCATAGTTCAATAGAAATTTGTTTTCAGTATGGATTGGCTACATGATGTTTTAAATGGAGACTGCATGTTTGCTGTCTCTTGCAGAGCTCTTGTGCAAAGCCTGATTTGGAAGCTGAGAGTTCTCCGATGGATCATGTGTATGAATCTTCCCGACTAAAACAGGTCGAACCATACCCAAGAGAAACAAATATGCAGGACGTTGAAATGTGCATTCAAGTAGGCCAGGCCTTGGCTTTGCATGACAATCACGCAGAAGGTAAATTTTTGCAGGCTAAGTTCTGAATTGACCTATGACTTCTGTTAATAAGGAAGAAGCTAAAATTTCCGCAAATCCTCTGTTAACTAGGATTAACAGTCGAGATCCGCAAGCGTGGTGAGACTAATTCAGCTTATGGCAAGGATGGTGACCAAGAACATTTTAGGAGTCCTGACACCAGTCAGGAGGCTTATGACAATCACAATGTTCAAATTACCTCTTCAAAGGAAGCTATTGACTTGATTGGAGCATTTCGAAATCATCTAAACAGCAGTCACAAAAGTTCCTCAGTCAACTGCACGGGCAAGTTTGACTTTTCTCCTCAGCTTGATCTTTCCTTAAGAAGATCTCATCCAGGCAGCTTTGAGAATGAAACTACTAAAGAAAGGCATGCCCTGATGCATTCCAATAGCTCAGCTTTCAGACGGTAAGTAACTATTTCAAGGAACTTCAAGAGATGGATAATAGATCCTATCAATATTAAACCATGAAAGTTGTAATTTTCCCAAGTGGGTGATGAGCTATATTAAGCCTCTGGATTTTGTCATTTGACTTCTGAAAATTTCTCATTTTGTTGCATTTCTATGAACTTGTCAATTAAATATACGTTTATGCAGGTATACTAACAGGCAAACACAGGCCCCGCCTGCAGTGTCCATAAACTGCTGCAATCAAGAAAGAGAAAAGAGAACAAATTGTGGGAACAACATCTCAAACATGGCAGGCTATAACTTGGATATTTCAATGCCTAACTTTCAAGGAAGTATTGTGTCTTCAGCCACACAGCAGTCAAAAGAATCCGAGCTCCCAACTTCACCCTCCCAGCGTCGGCTTTCACTTCCAATCCCAGTAAAAGCTGTAAGGTACGATGATCCATGCGCGACCTATGGTTCTGCACTTCCTCCTATGTTCTGTACGCAGTCAGGGCCCGCATCCACACTAAATCCAGAGTTGGTGCCACACCGTGAACCAACCTTTCAAGTGAATGGTTTTTATCAGTCGAATACCAAAGAAGAAAGTTCAGAGCAGCGTTATGATCCTCAAGGTAAAAATGGAAGCAACACAACAGGCCACGTTGTATACATGCAGGAAAGCAATTTGGAACATGTGGAGGATCAAAGACACATCTCTCCCACAACTGGTCAAAGTGCCTGCACTAACAGCAACGCCGATCAGGTTGCCATGGCCAGGGCAGCTTCAGAGAGCATGACGGAAGAGCTCTCAAACAATGGGAGTTCTCATCGATCTAGATTAAGAGAAGCAGCTCTGAACAAATTCCGCTTGAAACGGAAAGAGAGATGCTTTGAAAAGAAGGTTCGTTTTTGCTGTCAGCAATGCTTTTCGTTTGTATGATCATTGTATGATCATTCTCTGATATAGCTTTTCCTTGCATGCTAACTTTATCTTACTCTCGTGTGTAAAATAGGTTCGATATGAAAGCAGAAAGAAACTTGCAGAGCAGCGTCCTAGAGTGAAGGGCCAATTTGTTCGTAAAGCGCAGCAATATTCTCAGGCTACAGAAAAAGATGGTTGAGACTAGGACCACTAGAGAATTGCTGCCTCACCAAGTTTTTAGCATTGGGTTGCTTGAAAATTTTTGTTTTCCAGAGACCCTGTAGACGATAGCCAGTTTCATGTGTATAGGCTTCCGAAAAGTCAGTTTCTTTAATCTTTCTTTCGGATCATGATATTATATATATGTATTATAAGTTTGTAACAAGAATGATCGAGCTTGTAAATTTCTTGTCTTACATGGGACTTGGTTGGCTCACTAGATATTTATTTATTTGTACGGAATGGATTTTTGTTCTGAAAATAACGACTCTATCCGTGTGTTGCTGCCTTTTCTTTTATGGTATATTTTTGGTAGTTAGACTTGATTGTGAATTTATAAGAAATGATATGCGTTTTGCTTTTAAAAAAAACAACAATGAATGGATCCTCTCCTGATCCCATCCCTATTCACTAAAACCAAATGTGTGTCGACAAAAAGGGGAAAATTTCCAGACGATGGGGATGAAATATTGGCACCCAAACAAAAACACGATAAAACTAAATCCAATCAAAACAATCCCTTACCTGCTTTCACTTTCGGCTTCTGGATATATCAGAGTTTGATTGATCTTTATGATCACTTGAATTCTTGAATTGCGTAAAGAGTCACCGATGGGCGAAGGCGTGAGAAGTTTATGGCCGGAGGAGGGATTACTTTTTCATGTTTGTGGATAAAGTTGCAGAGGACATGTCAATAGCCACCACGCGATCACTACACTACGAGACAAATGCAGGGTGACCATGTAATCAAGTAGTAGTAGGGGGCCCAATTTTTTTTTTTTTTTCACAATAAGATAATTGCAAAAGCTATACAAACCAAATCATACTAATAATATTATAAACTTGTTTACACTGAAGCAAGGTGACTTACTTCGTTGCTTACTTTTCCAATCCCAGAAACGAAAATGACCAAATATGTTTCATTTTGTTAGCTCAAAAATCAAGGAAGATATAAAGAAACCGATATCGTGCTGTAGCATTAATGTTCTAATGATTGAAGGGCTCAGTTATGTTATTATATATAATATGTAACTAAAGAAAAAGAGAGACTCAAAAGCAATACTATACTCCCAAATGTCCAAAGTTGCTAATCCTAACAAGAAGTGCCCCACTCACATTGCCAAATTATCAAGCAACATCTTTTGAAATGGTAAACCCAAGCTTAGTTTAATTAACTACTAAGCTCATCGGCTACTAAATAAATACTCCTTTCAACTTTATTTATAAGTCTCTTTTAACATTTTTTTACCCGTAATTACGAAAAACCTTAAAACTTGACATCAAGCGGTACAAGAGAGGCAGGTAGGCCACACAAAATGAAAGATGATGCATCCAAGTCGGTCCCATTCTCAACTTCCAAAAGTAAAGTGAATAAGGAAGTCATTACAGAAAAGATAAATTTCAGGGAGTCTCCGAAAAGCCATTTTACAGATTCTGCAAGATGTCTGCTTTTTATCTTTCTCTGCTTTTTTGAACGGCCTCTCTGTTTGTTTGTTGAAGTAAAACCTGAGAATTAGATTAGTCCATTAGAACCCCCCTCCCCTCCTTCACAAGTCTCAGTGTCTTGCATTAAGAGACGTCTCTGAGGTTAAGTCATCATCATGAGCACAATAAAAGCAGAAGGAAAGTGCCACTACCCTATTTGATGCTACATCTTCCCACTATATCCCCAATCAATCATCATGATCCGTGTCCAAAAGCTATATCCACAGCTACTCTCTATCTCTTGTACGCTAACGTTTCTTTCAAAAAAAGATCACTTCTTTTTTTTCCCCCCTTTATTTTTCTCTCCCCCAATCCCTGATTCTTCCTCAGAAAACATGTCCCCGAATCATCCCTTCCTTCAAATATCGTCGTGGCAGTATGTGCGTACGTGAATTAGTATTTTATATGAATGTGTTAAGCACAAAGTAAACAGTACCCATGTAGTTTGGAGAGGTCGCGGTAGGGTGTAGGCAAACTGAGATGCACTGAATGATGAGTGTTCCTTCTTGTACGCCACGTGTATCTGCCAAGTGACTACAGCTGGAAATCACCAGTGACTTGCAAATCGTGCGGCTGATGATCATTGACAATTTCATGGACTTTTTCAATGATGCGTGAGAAGAATGGAAGACTTTGGATGGTGCTGCCAATTATAAGGTGAAAAGATGGTTTGTTTTCTGGGAAACGTTTGATGGCTAAGAAAGTAGTAGTTAAACTTAAAGTGTTAGGCAAAAATTGGGGACGGATGTAAAATCTCTAAGTACGTTAAACTGTAATAGTCTTTATAATGCAATCTGTAAAGAATGAATAATGAAGTTATAGGGTTAGAGAGGATGGTGAGAATTAAAGAGGAGGATTATTATTGTTGGAGTGAGTTTGGGGTTTGGAGAGAGCAAGCGGTTGCGTGGGAGTCTCAATCCTGCTTTGGTCTCATAATGCAAAAAGTTGGAAAGTGACCCGAAGCCATTTTGGGACCTAAAAGAAAAAAAGAATCTCTTGAACACAACAGCCACCACCTTTCTTTCTTTTCTTTTTCTTTTCTTACCCCTTTAATTAGTGTTGTTTAACAATCTCAACCACCTATGATTTTGCACAACGGGTTCGGGGTTATTTTGTCGTGTTCATTGATTCATTGATTCTCCACAATTCAGCCTTCCAAAACAGATTTTCTACAATTCATGGTTGTTAGTTTCACATTTTAAAAAAAAACGTTATTGTTGTTGTTGGTACGTTGCTACTATTTTATCTGGTTTTTAATATAATAGTTAGTTAATTAATTTGAATAAATTAAAAAAATTGTTGAGTTAGTTATTTATAATAAATAAATATTGTTTTTTTAAGAATCCTTTTGCTAACCATATGTATCAGTGAGAACTACTATTTGATTAAATCTTCAACGTGTATACCTACTACAAATACTATTTTAAAAAAATAGATAAATATAAGAAATAAAATTTTTGTACTAAGGATAAGAGATACTATTTTTTAGTCAATGATAATGTATGTATGAAAATGTAAAAGCCTCTTTGATTCCTACATTATTTTGCACAGTCATATGGTTTACAAGGTGGTTTATTTCCATTAATCATCCATTGTCCTCGTTAATCTACAGCAAATTTGGAAATAAAAGTTTATCTCATTGGTAAAAGTGCGAATCAAGTTCCATCACTACTGTGTAAGTATTATTTTAATCATATATAACAACGTATGATCTTATCTCTAATAAATTACTGAGAATAATTAACGGACATGAATTTTTGTATTTATTTAAGAATAAAACCGCATAAAATATCTTACTTTATTGTGCCCAAAATGTACGCAAAAGGGGAATGGTTTTTCCAGCTTCTTTTCCAGGAAAATTCAGGTGAATTTCCCGCGAAGTCTTTTACTGTTTTCTAACTTCGAATTAACAACACACGTACGAACACGCGTCCCTCGCACTAATTGCAGATTTTTTTTTTCTTTTTTGGTGAAATAATTCAAGATTTCTTCCCCCATGTAAAAGCCTTTCAAGTTTCAACTTTCAACAAAGCACTTACCTCCACCAGTAGGAGGACCTGACATTCAAAAGAGTTCCCAGCGAAATTATTGCTTCTTTCTACTCTCTTTCTAAATAGTGTGTGTGTGTATATATATATGCATGTATAAATAAACCCATCCTCTCCCTTCTTCCTTAACGTTGTAAACTTGTCTCCTTTCTCAAGTTTCAAGCCTTTCTTGTTCCTCCTTCGTTTTGCAGATGTCTCTAATCACGGTAAGTTCTCCGAAACACTGCGCCATCAAGAAAGGACCTCACATAGAGAGGAAGTACAAGAAGTTCTTGTTCATCGTCTCTTCATGTTTCACCATAATTTTGCTTCTAATCCTTCTCATCTGGTTCATCCTTCGCCCTTCCAAACCTCAGTTCTCTCTCGAAGAACTCGACATCTACCAGCTCAATCTCTCGGGCCCTTACCTCAACTCCACCATTCAGCTCACCCTCCTATCCAAAAACCCCAATCGGAAAGTGGGCATTTACTACGACGAATTTCAAGTGTACGCCGCCTACAAGAGCCAGCAGATAACAATGGATTCTTCCCTTCCTCCTTTCTACCAGAGCAACGAAGAGAGCAATCTCTTGTCTGCTTCTTTGGTGGGAAATGGCCTCCCTGTGTCTCCCTCTCTTGCTTATGAAGTGGCTCGTGATCGAGCTGCTGGAAGACTGGTTCTGAATGTCAAGGTTAATGGCAAGCTTCGATGGAAGGTGGCAACCTGGGTGTCTGGTCGTTCGAGGTTTACTGTTAATTGTGTTTCATTCGTTACTTTTGGACCGGCTGTGCCTTTTGGTCCTGTGAGTTCAAACCAGGGGGCTCACTGTTCTACCGATGCTTGATTATAAACTGATTATACGAATCGCAGTAATATTAGTAATGAAGTTTTTCTTACTGGTTTAATTTTCAGCTTTTGGTTTAGCTTTGATGCTGATGAGCTCTGTACATATAAAATATATGAAAGATAGGACCAAAAGTTGGGATTTCTCGTGGGTGAGATGAAAAGGCTTGCTTGCTTATTAGGTTGTTGTAAATCTTATCGCTTGTGCTTTTATTTTCCTACTCTCTTTCTGTTTCCCATTATCTCTCTGCGGAATATTTTCTTTTGGGAGTGGATTCATGAGTAGATACTGGGTCACCTGGGCTTCTTTGTGGGAGAAGAAGAGTGATTTCGATTGAGGAATATTTGGATGGGATCATTCCCACAAGATATGTATGGAAATTGAAATTGAAAGCTTTTTTCCTTCTCAAAGAATCTGCATGTATATCACAGTATTATATACATGTCAATTTATTGCCTTTAACAAGAATCGTACATTGTAGATTGGTAGGCTTTGAATCCAACTTTTGGTAGCCATGAATCAAATTATATTTGTTCCTTCTTTTTGGAATCATGAGAACCCAATGGCTTTTCATTTCTGTAAATGAATATCCAGAACCAGAAGATGCTAAAGTGAATAGTTCCCCACTTGTCCTTTTATTTTTAGCACGTAACCTCCCAGATAGATGCTTCTTCTAATACCATTCTGATACAGTCACAGTCATTCCATCCCAACTATTAAACCCAATTGTTAAATGCATTTATAATTGATTAACATGTGATCAGATTGCTTCTCTTTTTCACTGATGCTATTAAATTATATGATGCAGATCAAAAGAGGGGAAAAAAAAAAACTCCGTTCCCCCTGCTTGGAAAACCTGTGCCAAAAATTTGAGAAAAGTCAGATAACTTTCTAATGAGTTTAAAAAAACCCAGAACTGTACAACTGGAGCTGAAAATGGGAAGCAATTTCTTGCAAAATACAGCAACACTACTGCAGATTTTAAATGGAAAACGACTGGCACTATATCGCACACACTTGTCCTATTATAGCACGTTACATTCCTATCACACACAATTATTCTTTAGAGAAAGTACCTTTGAACTTGTTAGCTTTTACCTTTTTAAATTTCTCTTCATGTTGAAAACTTCACTGCATAGAATTATTGACAAATGCCCGAGTATTAAGGTCCAGGGAAGAAAAGAAACAAAAGAGAAAAATATCCAATTAATGACTTTCTTATGCAGCTACTATAACCTAAAATTTAATATAGTCATTTGATAGATTTGAATATTGTTTAGCCAAAATGAATTTTTCAACATGATTTTTTAGTCATAAAATTAAAATCGTGAATTACATTAAGTAATTAAGGCACACACAGATGTGCATGCAAATATATGTATGTTGTTTGTATGTATGCATATGAAATAAAGACAAATTTGTGTCAAAGGTGAATGGAAATAAAGCAGCATGTTGATGCTGTTGTGACCCCATAACTGACTGTGGATGAAGGACAGGCAATTCAAAAGCGAAAGTGGGATATGATTTAGGGAAAGTTGCTTTTCATGTTTTGAATTTGATTAAACTTATACTACCTCCTGTCCTACTTATAAGAACTAGTTGACTAATTTGAGAAGATTAAGAAAAAAAGTTAAGTTAGTTATTTGTAAGAAATAGGTGTTGTCTTTCCTAAAATATCCTTACTAATCAAGCGTATTAGTTAGAACTACTATTGTTAGAAGGATTATTTTGGAAAAAATACATAAATATGAGACACAAAATAGATTAGGATCTTATATTTAGGATCAAAATAAAAATCAAACAAGATCTTATATTAAGGACCGGAGGTAGTATAACGAATCTAAAACAATGTAGTCATTTCTTTTTTTCTTTTGGTGAAAATAATATAGTTATTTCTAATCCTAAGACTGGAAAAATTGCATCTTATTTTAAGAATTTGGCATAAATAATTACTCCTCCGGTCCTAATTATAAGACCCAATTGACTTATTTGAAGAGATTAAAGAAGTAAGTTCAGTTGGTTATTTATAATAAATAAGTGTTGTCATTCCTAAAATATCCTTGTTAATTAAGTATATTGACTAACACTATTATTATTAGAAGGATTATCTTGGAAAAAAATGCATAAATATAAGAGACAAAATGGATTGGGGTCTTATAATTAGGACCAAATAAAAAAAGTCAAATAAAAAAATGGGGTCTTATAATAAGGACCGGAGGAGTATAATATTTTCAAACAATTGGCATGAGTTGTTTTAATCATAATTTTCTTTTCAGTTAATACAATGTCTAATCTTTATAATTTGCCACATTGTAGTTTTTGTCCTTCTAATTTTAAATCATAAGTTTCGTTAAGAAACAAAATATTACATGTTCTTATTGAAAGCACAGCAACAAAAATCAAAATAAAAGCAAATTGTAAAGACTAAACAACATAATAATCCTTTTTTTAATTGTCTCAAAATCTTACAATAAATTATATTACCTTCAATCCTAATTATAAGATTTAGTTGACTAATTTGAGGATATTAAGAAAATAAATTAATTTAGTTATTTATAATAAATAGGTGTTATCTTTCCTAAAATATCCTTACTAATCAACTATATTGATTAGGACTATTATTATTAGAAGAACTACCTCAGCTTGAAAAAAATCTATAAATATGAGAACCCGAGGTAGTATAAACTTACTTCATCAAGTGTATTTATAATTGTTTTTTTTAATTAACATAATTATGATTTATTTTGTCGCTTAGCGTCTGTGAAATTGGAGAAGCACAGTGGCGTCGGGCCAAGTCAGGGAATGCCTTGAAGTGTGAGACAAAATGTGGGATGGGAAGACTCTTTATTTTAAATGTGCATTGGGCATGAAGGGTCAGTAGGATTATGGTTAAATAATCGAGTCATTGTATCATGGAACTCATTTGTAAACCTAAAGAAAGTTAGAAAGTAGGACTTAGAAATCTACAGGTTTCCTTTACGAAAATGCCAAATGATTTTTGACAAAAAAGCTGAGACTGAGAGCACCCTGCCTTTTTCCCAGCATACTCGAACCCCTTCCCCCACCACCCACCAAACAAAACAATCCACAGCCAAACTTAATGGCTACGCAAAAATAACGGACCCTCACTCCCAAAACAAAAAATGTTCAAAACTGCGAAAATAAAGATTCCAGCATACCACAATGATGCATAAAAATACTAGTTACTGTATTTAATATAAAAACTAGTTAACTAATTTAAGTAAATTAAAAAAATTTAGTTAAATTAATTACTTGTAATAAATATGTATTATTTTTTCTAAAATACTCTTACTAATCAGGTGTCATTTGATAAAATATTTAACATGCGTAACTACTCCAAGGACGATCTTTGTAAAAATGAACAAATTGATTAGATTCTTATATTTAAAATTAAATTAAAAGTCAAACTAATTTTTATATTAAGTACAAGAGGGGTAGTAAAGACAAAAAAAAGTTTAAATATTACTCCTCCGGTCCTTAATATAAGACCCATTTAACAAATTTGATTAGATTAAGGAAGTTAGGTAAGTTAGTTAATTACAAGAAAAGTGACACATTTTTCCTAAAACACCATAATCATCTTTCTTAATACCCCCTCTCCCTCTTTTACTTGATTATGGTTGAGGGAGTATCCATAGGGGTAATTTAGAAAAAATTGATAAATATGAAAAATGGGTCTTATATTTAGAACCAAAACCAACTTAAAAATTAGGTCCTATATTAAGGACCGGAAGAGTATTAGAAATTGTTTATTTATTTATTTCTTCTGGACTCCCGGCCTGCCTCCCCCTCCTACTCTAGTTGGGGCCTGGTCCATCATGAAGAAGGCCGTACGCACTGCGGCCTCCACTGTGCAACATCGAAATCCATTTTGTTAGGGGTGGCTAGCTTGTAACCCGCCCGCTTATTCTTAAAGGGGTTCGGGCTAGCCAGTAATATCCTCATGTAGTTTTTTTCCTGCGATCTAATTTTTTTAATAGTTTTATTATTTGTATAAGATTTTTTTATTTTTTAAATATTTAATACAATATTACTTATTTTATTTCTAATTTAATGTATTTAATATTTTTTTTTATTTATCTCATTATTACTCTTTTATATTTATCTATTTATATATAGGGATATATTTAAAAAAAATACTACGTTTGTTATATATTAATTATTTTTAATTAATTTTAATTGTTTTTTTAAACAGTACAATTTAATTAAAATGATAATTAGAATGCGATGCGGTGCGATGTAATTAATTATATGAGTGAATAAACTAACTAATTTAGTTTAACATTATCATTGTCAATTCTAAAATGAAATCGTATCCTGGTTACCTCGAATTTGTGTGACGTTAACCTCGGCTTGATCCTTTTCCTCCCAAATCAGAATCAAATTCCCTATTCTCATCGCCCTAGTTCCATCATTTCCACTCCAACATCCCCAAAAATTGAAGACTCTGTACATGAACGTTCTGCTACACCTGCCACAGCGCCCTCCGCTTTGTCCCGACCGAAGAAATCAGACGACCACCCTCCCTCTACGGCTCCACCGAAGCGCAGCCGGTAGGCCTGCCGTCACTCTCTCAATCTTCAATATCTTCTTCTTTCACTTTGGTATTGTCTTTGAATTATTGAATATGTCAATAAATTCGTTTGCCACTTTGCCACTCATGTATTGTCGTGCTAAACCCTTGTTTTTGGACGTTGTATTATTATTATTATTTATTGCTGGGTATTGATACTTATTTGGGTTACGACTTATTGGACGAGTCCTTACCCAGCGAGAGACCTTGCATTCTTTGGAGACATTTTGCTGCGTGAGAGCATCCCCCCCCCCCCTTTCCAACGAGGGGGTAATGGAGCATGATATATTTTTACATATGAAAACTTAGAAATCAGGTGCCATATGAATCTGATAGTTCTGCAGAAGGAAGGAACGGATTTGTTCCATTAATCTTGTACGCTAGCTCTTATGAATCTTGTGCCATATCAATGACATTGCACTGGGGCAGAAGTTACTTTGTTTAGAAATGTTTTATTCGTGTTCTTTCCTAATCGACTTTGCATCTGCAAATTCTTTGTTAGGCTCAGCCTTCTCCGGGCACAATTGTTCTAAAACATAATTTGTTCAAAGCTACTCTGCAATGCAATGAGATGGAATTTACAGAAATAAAGATCCATGATCCACCCATAATAACTTTTGTACGTGTTTATCTTAGATATTGGATTCCTTAGAAGATAGCTGCATGAATAAATAGAGATATATTTGAGTAGTGTGGGGACACTCCATAGTAAAAAATATTTTCTTCACTACTGAAGGATTAACATCCTTGGGTGAAGAAAACCCATTCACATTTGGAAACATTGCGTGGCTTTGATCTGTATTCAGTAGAATTCGGCCTGCAAAATTGACTATCATGAACATAACTATTCACTTCTTTAAACATTAAATAGACATTGAACCTCCCTCTACTTTAGCAAGGAATTAGATTATCCCTTTGCGTATGTCTCCAAATCTCCTTCATCTCCCCAAATTTGAATGCCCATAGTTGCAATTTCATTACTTATGTCTCTGCCTGGAATTTGTTATCCGTTCCTCCGTTCTCTCTCTTCTTCAGCAATTTTTTGTCTCAGAATAATTTTTCATTTGTTTTTCCAGTTGTCCGTTGTCTTTTGTGTTTGAGACACGTCTCCTATTGTTTAACTCTGGCAATATATTTATTTATCAGCTTATTTACTTATGGGGAAAATCTCTAAACCCTCACTCCCTTCTGTTACTAGGGCTAATCTTCTATGATTTCCTCAGCTGGAACTTCTTGAATACCAATCCCAAAACCCTAGCTTAGGGTTTTTCTATTCTTAAATTTTTTTTCTTGGGAAATGTATTCTCCTTAGAATGCCAAACATGTGAACTCTAAGCTTCTCATAAATGTTACTGCTTGATATTTTTCCAAAACTCATGGTAGGTATTGTATGCTTATTTACAGTGTTGTTTGTCATGCATCTGTCAGGTTGCATTCATTGAATGGATGGAGTAGTTAATTCTAAATGGTATTTTGGGTATTTTTAGCTTTTTGATCTAGATTTACTTGTTTTCCACAGATTTTGTGTCCATGTCCGTATTACTATTCCTGAACAATGAGAACTATGGTTCTTCTTTTGACTTAAATTCTGGCGGGGAGTTCCAGAAATACCTTCAATGGCAATGCCAATAAGAAGCGTATTGATTTATATGCATTTCTGCAGGTGTAGATGGAAACTGAAGCCGGTCGACAACCCAAGCCAGAGCGCTCAAGGACAAGATGGACAGCATCCCTTGACAAGATATTTGCCGACTTGGTTGTCAAGCAGATTCAGTTGGGGAATCGACCAAACAATGTTTTTGACAAGAAGACATGGAATCACATTCGTGATGAGTTTAATAGGCAGACAGATCTAAACTTCAATAATAATCAACTGAGGAAGCATTTGGATGTTCTTCGAACGCGCTTTCACAATTTGAAGTCTGCTTATGATCAGAATAATGACTTTGTTATGAATGATTCTTGCTGCATTGGTTTTGAACTCTGGGAAGATTTGGGGGTAAGCATTTTTTCATCATTGAAACAAATTTTTTCCCTGTCGCCATACTTATCATGAATTCTGATGTTTTATACACAGGCTCAGCATAGGCCTGAAGCAGTTAAAGTGAAAGACTGCCCTATATATGAGCAGCTATGCACAATCTTCACAGATCCAGCTGCTGATGGAAAATACGCTCAATCTAGTCATTATGAAGAGTTGGACAAGTCCATTGGAACGAATGCTGCTGGTTTAACGTCATGTCCGGAAGGTGGAGTCTCGCATACTGAAAACCCATCATCAGTATCAAAGCCAGTGCAGGGGAATGCCTCAACTCCAGAGAAGGTAACAAAGAATCCTTCAGATAGGAAAAAGAAACGTCCATCTGAGACTCAAACTCCCAGTTTCGATCGAGACACGTGTGATGCCATGGCTGAGGCTTTGTTAGAGATGGTTGCTGCTTCAAGGCTAAGGACGGTTGCTTCAACTGCAAGTGATGATAAATATTCCATCACAAATTGCATCAGAGCTCTGGATGAGATTGAAGCCATTGATCAGAAGCTCTACCTTTCTGCATTGGACCTCTTTGAGAACCCTAGTTTAAGGGAGACTTTCATTTCCTTAAAAAGTGACCAGATACGACTGGCGTGGATTCAAGGAAAGTGTGGTAAAAGTTCTTCCTCTTAGACTAAGGTCATTTTGGTGGTGGCATTGAGCAGTGTTGATTTGCTCGGGCACAGCCTACGAATTTTGTTTATAACATGGCCTTCTTTTGCTGGAAATGATACTGCTTTAGTTACAACAAAGTCACAACCTGCTGCTGGTTCACCTCTTGCTCCCCTTTTTCTGCACAATCTTTTGCATTCTTGACCGCCGGATTTTTTTTTTTAAAATGATTTCTAGCGAAACAATTACTGGAGTTTGAAAATGGACGAAACTTGTCCGCTATTACTAATATACTTAACGTCAGGTTTTTCAACAAGTTAGTTAATTAAATGTGGATTTTGACATATAGGTACTTGGAAGAAATTTTTTTTTTTTTTGGGGTTGGGACTTGCTTCAAAAGATTTTTTTTAATGAATTTTTAAAATTTAAAATTAAATATCTTGATTTTTACTTCAAGGATTTTCTTTCAAAGATGCTTAAATGGATAATAATATTCTTAGTAATTTATATAAAAACGTCCGTTATCTCTAATGCCAACACATCTATCAAAAATTGAAACAAGGAAATTGCCACGCCAAATTTATTTTATTAGATGATGAAAGTAGATGAGCTAATTTTTTTCCCACTTCTGTGAATTTTTGGTATTTGGTCCAGAGTTTAAAGTTCAACCAAATTTTGTGAATCCAAAGCATAGGGCTTGTGATTCACCAGATACAACGGTAGGGATTCACCCAAAGCAAAGTACGCCCAATTTATATTCCCTCCAATTGTTTCTTCACAATGATGTTTTTTATTAAAAAAAAACTACTTCTACTTTTTTTGGGTAGTGTTTGGGAGATTCAGAAAACCCTTTAAAAAAATAATTTCACGTAATTGAAATAAATTTTTTTTAACATATTTACTTCCACCTCTGTACATCCACTTCTAAAATCGTGATTTCTTTCATTTAAACACTCCCAAAATGACAAATTATTAAAGAAACATGGGAAAATCACTAACAGGTCCCACAGAAGGTAATTTATTACTCTGAGGTCCCACGAAATGTCAAAATCATTAACAGGTCCCAAGGGACCTCAAAGTAATATTTTCGTTTTGTAAAATGACATTATTACCCCTCATATTCCAGATTCACATTTGCTCTGTCATTACGATTTACAACCTCAGCAGCGACTATTAACAACCTAATGAGAGGGCGTTAACAACCCTAGCAGTATCCGTTAACAACTTACTTTATAGAATTATATAACCTCTACATAAGAGTAAATTATAACCAAATAATATAATACAACAACTTTAACACTAAAATGGGAAGCTTTTTGATATCATTAAGAATTTTAACTAGATCCAATAAGATTATAGTAATATTTTAATGTGAAAATCCATTTACAACCTCAATAGCGACTATTAACAACCGAATGAGAAGGCATTAACAACCTAAGCAGTATCCGTTAACAACTTACTTTATAGAATATATAACCTCCGCATAAGAGTAAATTATAACCAAATAGTATAATACAACAACTTTAATACTAAAATGGGAAGCTTTTTGATATCATTAAGAATTTTAACTAAACCCAATAGGATTATAGCAACATTTTAATGCGAAGATTCATTTACAACCTCAATGGTGAGTATTAATAACCTAAAGAGAACTGTTGACAATCTAGGCAGTATCTATTAACAATTGACTTTATAGGATAATATAACCTCTAACAACTATATAAGATTAACTTTAAGACTATTTAGTTATAGTTTAGTTAGTTATAGTTAGAAGTTATATTATCCGATAAAGTTAGTTGTTAACAGACACTGCTATGGTTGTTAACAATTCTCCTTAGGTTATTAATACTTACTGTTGAGGTTGTAAATGGATTTTCGCATTAAAATGTTGCTATAATCCTATTGGATTTGGTTAAAATTCTTAATGATATCAAAAAGCTTCCCATTTTAGTGTTAAAGTTATTGTATTATACTATTTGATTATAATTTACTCTTACGTGGAGGTTATATAATTCTATAAAGTAAGTTGTTAACGGATACTGCTTAGGTTGTTAATGCCTTCTCATTCAGTTGTTAATAGTCGCTATTGAGGTTGTAAATGGATCTTCGCATTAAAATATTACTATAATCCTATTGGATTTAGTTAAAATTCTTAATGATATCAAAAAGCTTCCCATTTTAGTGTTAAAGTTGTTGTATTATACTATTTGGTTATAATTTACTCTTATGCAGAGGTTATATAATTCTATAAAGTAAGTTGTTAACGGCTACTGTTTAGGTTGTTAATGCCCTCTCATTCGGTTGTTAATAATCCCTGTTGAGATTGTAAATGGATATTCGCATTAAAATATTACTATAATCCTATTGGATCTAGTTAAAATTCTTAATGATATCAAAAAGCTTTCCATTTTAGTGTTAAAGTTGTTGTATTATATTATTTGGTTATAATTTACTCTTATGTAGAGGTTATATAATTCTATAAAGTAAGTTGTTAACGGATACTGTTAGGGTTGTTAACGCCCTCTCATTAGGTTGTTAATAGTCGTTGCTGAGGTTGTAAATCGTAATGACAGAGCAAATGTGAATCTGGAATATGAGGGGCAGTAATGTCATTTTACAAAACGAAAATATTACTCTGAAGTCCTTTGGGACCTGTCAGTGATTTTGACATTTCATGGGACCTCAGAGTAATAAATTATCTTCTGTGCGACCTATTAGTGATTTTCCCAAGAAACATTACTCATTACTCATTATCAACCAATATTTTAATATGAATACAAGATACGAATAATGCTTTTAAAGATTCTGCATGAGGGACCAGGATCCACCTAATCCTCTTGTCTCTAGAATCCATTTGTATGGTTTGTGATTTAACATACAAATGGAGATATTGTATGACATCAAACCACACCACATCAAACCATAATTTCAGGTGTACGAAAAATTAATAATTTGTGGCCCTTTTCACATACGGATCTGGCGCGTTAAACTGATGATGAGACAATTTTGTCGGGGACTACGATCGGACCCAAACAAAACAAAACAAGAAAGAGAAGGCAAAAGACGACCCTCGCGCCAAGCACGGATATTTTTTTATATGCTATCTAAATAATGCTTTTGAGCTGGAATTAATAAAGACTTAAGGAGTAAACAACACGATAAGAGTTGACCGACTCCTTTAACACAAATTTGCCGTTTCATCTTGACAACGAAATATGGGACCTTTAATACTGTTGCTGTTTCTTCTTTGCCGTATTGTTTGGTTTTTTTAATTAAATATGGTCATATATCCTAATATTTTTAGGGAGACTGTAATAAAGTCCCATGAAAAGGAAATAACTACTAAAAAATCTTAATAACAAATGAGAAGTCGTCATTTCCTATTTTGAAAATTGTCTTTACAAACTGTTCTGTTGTTATTGGAGCTTCACAGTAATTTGACATAACAAATATAAGCAACTTGATCTCAGTATTTTACCCCTGATTAATACCATCGGTATATAGTGATATATATAATGCTGTCAATGATTAGACAAAACAAAACATTTTTGGGTTGATTAAGCTAATGGTTTGGATAACAGAGAGAGACTTCAACACAATAATCAGTGAAGTTGCGTTGAGATCAATTCTCGCCTTCATGGTCATGGCCATAATCAATTCAAATGAACTGGATGCATCTTCATTTTATCTCATCATTATAAATGCAAAGATAGGATTTCCTGTCACGATCTAAGTTTAGTTTTAACTTTTTCCATTCTTTAAATGAAAACCGATCCAACACTTCAGCTAACACGAAATTGCGATGATGTTCATTCAGTGATAATCATGTGAGATTGAAGAGTATGATATGATTGCCAATTTGCTTGTTTTTGGGGCAAGTGTGATCAGCAAATCTGTTAAGTAATAAGTTTAATTAGCGGCCAAATCAAAGCATGAATTATGAAGATGTGGAAGCTGCCCTAGAAAGCTCGATCGGGACCAGTGATTGATCTGGTGGGAGAGGCAATCCCGTTAGTTCAGGAGACGAGAGATTTGAATTGATATTTCTGACTTTGGGATGATCCGATCTCTCTAGGCACCCAAATATCAACACCTTGGAACTCTTATTTTCAAAAAGGGGAAAAAATCTGGGAACTCTCAAATCTTCACCGCCATATACAGACCACTTACCTTGATAATATAGAATACGACATCTTACGCATTTGAAGACCAATCAAGAAGGAATCGGCAAAACTAGTTGCTCTCTCTTGACTATTCTTCAAATATGTGAACGGCATGGGTTTGACAAGGTCTTGGTGGCTTACGTGGACTACTCCTTATTAGGACCCATGTGGCTGATTACGGTAGATGGATATCCAAACATCCTTTGAGGTTTGATATTAATGAGGTGAGGAACATGTTATATTCCGACTGAGACATCGTCGAAGCTTTGATTCGCACCAGTTAAGGAAAATCATCTGCCGGGCAAGTTAAATTGCTTTGCTAGTGAAGCTCATAATAACCTTCATGAAGAAATGAGGCTCATGCAAATTATTAAAGTCCTCTTGTTGGATGTTATGCGCACCAAAACTCAGGGCTAACTGGTTGATTTTCTTCTGGTTAGTTGTTTTGTAAATCTCAGCTTCTAGATAATTAATTATCATCTTATTCAAAAGAAAAACAAAAGGAAGAAGACGTCTTAATTACATGTCATCTTGTTAGTAATCTTATCACTAATTGTGGGCTTAGCTTGTAATACTTTCGCAGCTAATCAAATCGATCCGCGCGTTCATCCTATTTAACGAGCAATAATATGTCTGTTGGGTTCTGTCTGAAACCAGATATCTAATACCTTTAGATTTATACGCGTCTTGACATGAGAAATCCACAATAATAGACTATGGTGATGTTTGGATGAAACTAAGTCATAATTATAAAAGTAATTTTACAGTATACAAAATAAAATGTGAAAAAAATTTTATTTCAACTTTTATAAAAACGGTTTTTAAAAGTACTTTTTATGTCCGTCAAACACCACGTATGTCCAATCCTTGTTAGAAGCTATCTAAATGTGATCATCGAAGTTTTAAAAGCGCTCGTTAATGAACGTTCAAGTGATGAATTATTTAATCTTTACGAGGCGTGGATGTTCGTTAATAATAACAAAACATTATAATAAAAAT